GAGCCTGGAGGGGGACACAGGCACCCCAAGGCGGGCTCACGCGCTCTGCACGTCACCCCGGGTGGGGCCTCGGGCCTCCACGAGGGGACCCTGCACTGCCGGGCGCCCCGTCCCAGCTGGGCTTCCCGGGCCGCAGCTGCATGGCACGGAGGGCCCGCCTGTGCGGGTCAGCCTTCCCCGGCCGGTGGGGGCTCGGGCTGGGCCCTCCAGACTCGGGGTTAACCCGCGGGAGGTCGTGCGGCAGGGAAGGCCCAGGCTCGGCTTCTCTTCGGGGCTCGTGGCTGGAAAATTGTGTGCACGTGCGTGTGTGTGTGTGGAGAAGTTGCTGTGTTGCAGGTCGTACCTGCTTTGAAGAAATCACTGTCCTTCGGTGATGAAATTCTAGCAAAGGTAGAAAATATAACACAGCTCTGCTGGTTCCGGTGCATCCAAATAAGGTTGATTTTTAAAAAGGTCGGACTTGTATAATGATTCCACAGAAATAGTGTTACTAAATCACAAAAGTTTTTTCTCTCACTTTCTAGCACTGAAGTGGCACGAGGGCTGCCTAGTAGACCAGCCACTGTTTTCCTTAAAATATTGTGCTTATAAACTATCTGTACAGCTATTTAAACTTGCAGTAAAGAAAGATTTTAAATCGCTAAATTTTTTTACGTGTCCGTTCTCGAGCCGTCCCTGGCCTGGTCACTCCACGGTGAGCGGAAAGGAGGAGGAGGGGAGAGCCGCGCTGTGCTCAGGGGCGGCCGCCTGCGCCCGGGGCCGGCCGCCTCCCTTGGCAATCAGAGCTCTCGCCCGGGGTGGGGGTGGGCTCCAGGGCAGTGGGGCGGGCGCAGGAGGCCGCGCAGAGAGGGCGCCCCGCTCTCCCCTTCTGCCCCCGCGCCCCGCTGCCCGCTCCTCGCAGCCCTTCCTCCGCCCAGCTTGGTGCCATTAAGACAAGCCGGTGGGGTCTCCGGAGGCTCAGGGGAGGCCCCCGAGCGCCGTCTTCCTGGCCTCCTGGCCAAAGGGCAGCCCAGCACAGCTGCCCCGGGCCGGGCCCCAGACGGCGCCCCG